CGCCCCCGAGGGGGCAATTGGGAGGCATTATGGCTAGAAAAGTATGGCCATATTATACAGATCTTTATATTGCTGCCTGCATTAATATACCATTAAATTTTGCAGGGGCTGCCTAAAACTGCCGTTTGGCCGCCTCTCGGATCCAGCAAGGGCAGGTGGAAAACCGTGTCGGTCTGTCTACTAGGTTTGTGCCCATGTAACCGGTGACTGTCATCATGTCTCCCTGTGACATGTCAGGCAAATGTTAGTATGTATAGCAGGGTGAAATCTTAAGACATATAACACAGGTAAATGTTTTCAAGGAAAAAATGCTGTAAATATGTCATATCTGATGGAAAATAGCTTCATTTCCTCATGCATGAGCGTTGAGGTCGGGATTTGATCCTGTGAAATTACTACTATGTGTCACTAAACATGTTTGTGTAAAGCTATTGGAAATGTGTTCACTGAGAGCTGAGCATCTTCACAAAAAAAGGTATCTTGAGTCACTGTTTGACTCCAATTCCTGATTTTTTTTTTTGTTTCCTTCTCTCAGTATGCTGGTAAATGGGAATATAGTTTTGAGGTAAGTTTGGTGACAACTGCAACCCCTGTACCAAATCTAGCATAGCGCATCTCTCTCTCTCTCCTTGTAGCAGTGTCGTTTAGCAGCAACCTGACTTAGTACCTTCCTGTAGATTGTGCTCCAAAATGATAAATCCTACCTATTCAGTCACCACACAGTTTCTAGCTGTCAATGTTTTATATGGAATACATGTATTTTTTTAAGATGGACTGGTAGCTCAGGAATATGTCATGAGAAAGGTCATTTAATAGGAACTGCATGCTCCAGTTCGTGTATACGGCAGGACGCTTGCCCTCAGGCGAGCGTAAGGCATGCCTTCGCCTGGGCGTCCCTCCGACGGGAGCCGGGGCTCCTCCTGCGCAGGCTGCTCTTCTCCAGTTAGCGCGCTTGTGGTGGTCTTTGGTGTCTCCTGACCGACTTCGCCTGACGCGCTCTTGTGCTTATTAAAAAAATCGAGAAGTTCTCGTTGCTGCTAGCGGAGTGAGAGCAGGTATCTGTTCTCTAAAGAAAAAACATACTCTCCGAAATACAAGATGAAGAACGATGACAGAGGAATACGTGGCATGTGAACACAGTTTATTTGAACAGCTAGCATATTTCTTGTGTTGATTGTATATTTTAATAATCCTTTCCACTGTTATTCACAAACGACATACGTACACATTGCATCACTAATTTCGTATTTACTATTCTGCATCTTTCAAACAATTACAGATTTTGTAACTGTATCTCTTTTTAAAATTATGGAACCAACTGGAGTTAGCGTAGTCAAACTGATTTCTACCATGAGAGATCATGGCCGATAACTTGAATAGTCCTTTAAATGACAATCTTATTGCTGCGTATTAAAACAACTTGTCCAAAGTTCTTTAAAAATAAGTAGGGAAACCAGTGTAGTTTTAATTCTTACAGTCTTAGAAAGGAATGTTTAATGAAACAGAAAAAGAAGACAAACAATCTTCTTGTTCACATTACTATAGCTTTTCTAAAGTCAATGCAGCCTTCTGATTTACTGACTTTCTGTATCATGTACCAGAGAAAAGAGCCTGGTCAGATTATCAAAATAATGCATCATACTGTTTATCTCCCCATATGTGGAATCTGCTAAACTTGAGCATTTAATGTAATATAAACATGCAATATAGAGAGATCATTACATTTTGAAGTAATTTATTTATGTACTTTTCTTTTCATTCAGAAGAATAGTAGACAGAAGTGAACATGAAGGAATAAAACATAATGGAACAAAAACAAGAACTGATGTTCAGGCTGGTTACTCAAAGTGACATTATAAGGACATTTGTTCTTGATATTTTTTAGTGGGCTCTTTATACATCCTTTATTTCTTCCCTTAACAAAAAAAAAAGGGAGAAAAGGCTGAAATGAATGATTCATAAAGCAAAAGAAAATAGGTCATGTTCTAAGATTATTTCAGTGAAAAGTCTAATTCAGGATTAGCTGTAATTATATGATACTGATCTTTACAATTTTTATAACTAAACTTGAAGCAAAAACACTTGAGCAACGCTAGAGACTGTGTTGGACAATGACGTTGCAGAGTCTACTTCACTGAAAAACTGGACACGGTTGCGAGAGCGGTCAGGGCGAAGCGGTGAGCGACGGCGGCGGTGGCAGGCTCGCGGCGGCCCGGTGGGCGCCGTACAGCGGTTGCCTCTGCCTGGGTGCACCCTCCCGTCTTGCAAAACTGTCCCTGGATGGCGACAGTGAGCAGATGCCAGCAGCAAACTGAGAGGACCTTGCTGGGGCATCCTCTGCTTTTTTTTCAGTAAAACATATAAATGTTTCATTTGTTGTATTTTTTACTTCCGTAACTCTTGAGTAAGCCTCAGTATGTTTGGTGCAGGACATTTCTTCGGTAGAAACATCATCTCCTACCCAACCTTGCTCCACAGCAACAAAATCATGATTGCAACAAACCGATGTATATTTGGGGAAAGATTTAGAGGAACATTAGTCTCTAATCTGCAAAACTTTCAGTGAACGGGTCTCATGTGGACCAGTCCCTCAAAACAGATCAGTTAGAAGATTTTTTTGTGGAATTAAAGCTTATTTCATGAATACATTTATTTGTATATGTGGTTAAAACTAGCCATACTCTGAAAGCTTACAAGGCATCATTTAACATCAGGGAATTCACAGGCACAGTTAGCCATAAATAATGCCTTTAGGGCCGCTGCTTCTAGCTTCATCTGAATCACCGCTATGGATGTCTGTTATTTTCTGTTTATTTAATGTCTGTTATTTTTCCTTTGTTGGTGGTCGCTGGTTGTATTTACTTTTACCGTTTCTCTGTCGTGCAGACCCATACCTTTCTTCATATAATCACGCAGTCGTGTCTGACAATAAGCAGAATAGAGGATGGCACCCAGGGTCCCACGGTGGAGGCTTGCAGTGGTAGCCCTTTGCAAGCGTGGATGCTAAGGAACTACACAAGGCTGGAGGTCTTTAGAAACATTTTTTACAGCCCCACTGATTATTTCCTTTAACAAACTGCCGGAGGTTGGTATTAAAAAGCAAATAGTACAGTGATTTAAGCTCTTCCCAGAAAAATGCTTTTTCATTTTCTGCTTGTCAAACTCCACTGAATTCCTTTCTTGCCTTTACAGATGGTAGTGTATGTAGATGGTATACGCGTTTAGTGTTAATTACTATAAATTAGAATTAATTTTAGATGGATTCTACTGCCTTGAGCTACCTCCATGATCTATTGATTTCAGAATAATTGTTACTATTTACAGTACATGAACATTTGGTCCCTCCTCCAGTACATTTAAATAAGACCAGTTACAGAGTCTGCTTTGGATGCGTATATTTTGAGAATTCCCAATTTTTTAAGTGATTCCGTTCTGAAGACATTAGCCACTCTCAAAGGACAACTTTGAAACGTTCGCTGCCGAAGAAGTCAAAATATTGTGCCAACCACTCTTTTTCTTACCTACGCAGTTTCACCGAGTGATAACAGCCGATAGTGACGAGGCAGCTCAGATGCAGTGCTAAAGCAGGAGTTAGTTACTGCCGTTGCTTAGATATACTCCTCTCTCGAACCGAGCTGCTCGCAGGAGGAGGGGGCGGCAGGCGCTTCCTTCCTATCGCGGCAAAATCGGTGCTGAGAGGATGCAGGATGTCATCTTTGTGAGCAAGCACGAGCAGGAGCCGTGCGTGGCTCACCGTCGCAGCAGGAGTGGCGTTTCTCAGTCAGATTTCGAAACTTTCTGAATGCGAATTGTCTTCTGATGTGAGCAACGTCGCACTGGAATCTTTTGCAGATAGCACGTCTCGTTCACAAAAGCCACTTTTTGAAACTGACGGAGAACTTTCAGTTTTCCGTTACTGGTATTTCTAAATACAGACCAAGCTGCTAGACCCAAGGATCTTTACTTTTTACTTCATTATTTTGCCACGGTGTGTTCAGATTCTTTGCCCATCAGAACTGTTATCTGCGTATGTTTGGTAAGTATGAAACTGCACGACTTGCTCTCCTGCACCTGCATGTTTGCAGAGCTAACTCTGCATCCATGCATGGGCTCTCGTCTTTGATGAACACAAAAATTCTCGGCTGGCTTGTGTGAGTATCAGCTCGCCTGGTAATTAATTGTTTCCCAAGCAAAGGAGGCCTTTTTTGTAATAGCACAAATAATAATAGAAGACAGAAAAATGCGTTTAGGAGACAGATGAAAATCCCAATGATATGGTAGTCTAGCGTGAAATTATACACTGAATAAAAGGGAACAGCTGAAGAAGGCGGCAGCAGCATTTTTAGACTTGTTTGCATTTCTGGTTATAGTAGAAGATGATAGCAGCTTAATTGCTCTTAAGACAATGTAAGTGAAGAATCAGTGATGCTTTGCACAGTGTTATTTAGTAAATAGACTACTTCTGTTAACACTACTAATTCTTTCCTCTTGTAATTACAGAAAAATGTCTTATATTCATCATTGAATGCATATCAAATAGCCCCTCAATGATTTGCTATAATATCTGTAGGTTTTTCCTTGAGAATTGCTTAATTGTTTTAAACTGAGGAGCAAATCTCTAGGGACAAGCTATTGAAAGAATATTCATAATACAAATTAGGAGTGTTAATATGTGACGTGTCCGTCCAGTATGAGCTGCAGTGTTAAATTTACTGTGCAGTAGACCAGATATATATCTGGATAATAAAACTGCATCAGATAATAAAACTCCACCAGAGATGGTCATAAGATTAATATAATTATTGGATATCTTTGGCTGTTTTTAGAAGGAAAAAAGGTCCCTCTGAAAACGAAGGAGTTGTTAAGAAGCTGAACGCGCACGGGCGCTGACGTTCACGTGCAGTGGCGTGGCCGTGCCAGCAGTGCCGCTGGCGGGTGGCTGCTCACCTCTTCCTTCCCTAAGGGCAACCCAGAGTGTAACACGCTTTGCTGGGGCAAAGACCAAGCTGCGACGTCCTCTAGTCTCATCAGCAGATTTTTTTCAGTGTTAGTTTGCACCTTACATCCATGAGGTCTCTTAGTTAGAATAGACCTTGTATACTGAGCAGCTGCTTAAAGGACCAGATTTGAAGATGTCAGCTCAAAACTTTAGTGTTACCATTTTTTGCTGAGACTTGTGGTGTACTCCGGTTGTCACTCCTGTCTCTTCCCAGAAGGTCCATGTTCGTGATGTTACCTTCTGCTTTCCAGATCTTTGTCTCACTGGGTAGAGGTGTGTGTGGTCCTGTAGTGTCCCAGGCATGTTACTACACAAAGCCATAAACGGCATTGAATGGGACCTATGAGATTTGTCTTTGCCTTTTTAATCAGTCACATCTTTCGAACTAGGGTTAATGTCAGCCTTGACACAGCCCTTCGTTTTTTACATGTCAGCAGGCTGAGGAGCGTCCAAAGGTGAGACTTCAGAACTAGGTCCTGTCTGCTTTAAGATGTGTCTCATTGCTTGTATGACTAAAATTAAACCGTGGATCCTGGCCAAAAATTTGCATCCTTTACCCTTAACACATATGCTGTTGCTGGTGCCAGTTGCTGGGTGATTTCTGTTCTATAATATTGTATGAAACACTGTGTTTTTGCAAAAGCTTCATAATGTGCTTTCGCATATTACTGAGCTGGGCATTGGGAAGGCTGAGATGCAGTAGACCTCTGTGAGGTGCAGTGGTTGCTATAGCAAGGGCTCTTCTCCAGCAGTGTTAGCGCTGCCAGACTACAGTTTAACCGAAGCCCCAGACTACAGCCTTTTTTTTCGCTGAAGATTTATACAAATTATGTTCATTACTAGTGAGACTTTGTGTCAGAGACGCTGGTTTCTCTCCTCTTCCTATTTGCATAACTTGGAGTTACAGTAATGTTGATTATATTCTTAGGAAATTCTTGCATTCGGGAGAGCTGAGCAGCAGTTAGCATGCTTCTTCCTGTTCACGGTTATGCGAGAACTGTGTTGTGGCGTTTAGCTTCTGAGCATAATTTACTGAAGAGCCCTGTGTGAGCCGTGGGCTTTGTGCGTGGCTGCGAGCAAGGGGGCAGGCGTAGTCCTCTGTGACTCCAGCAAGCGCCGCTCTTCGAGGAGACCTTGCTGAAGGCTGTTCCTCCACAGCCTGGGGGTTGTGCCATATGCGATAAGTTTATCACGGTGTTAATTAATCCTCTCTCCCTCCTCCTGGAGGCTGCAGGACTCTGCCAGCCCTGTTTTCCCCTGTTCATTCCCTTGCGTAGTGTTTGCCGTGCCGTTGGTCTGTGCACCAGTGGGGAACCTGCCAGCAAAGTCCTGCTCGCCCCGACACGCTCGCAGACTCCCCGAATCCCCCATTTCCATAGTTGTTGGTGCTACGGCAAGGTTGTAACCCCTATGTAGCTGGTACACAACAGCTCAGGGCTTTGCTTGACCGCGGTGCCTGAGCATTTTTACCAGTGCCTCTACGGGCTGCCTGATTATGTGTAAAGCCAACGGAGGGAGGAACGCAGCGAGGCGGCAGGGCTGCGGTAGGACTCGCCGCGCAGCGGGCAGCAGCCCGTGCAGAGCTTGTTTTGAGTGAAATCCCTCTGCAATCCATACTCTGGTTTCCGACGGTCAGGGGAGGGCAGGATCCAGCGTCGTCATTCATGTCCCCGTAAAGTCGGTGGCGCAACGCCTGCGTGGGTTTTCCCCGCTGCGCGTGCCGTTGGGGTGGGCAGCCGACGAGGT